GTGTCTCTCTTTTCCCTGAGGGCAGGCACGGTTACCAGAGACAGCCCTGCAAACAACTGTTATGGTCATAACACTTCTCTAAGTATCCATTACAAAAACCCACACAAACAGACAAACAAACAAACCCATGAGATTTCAATTTCCTTACCAAGGGGTTAAGAGAATTTTTTGTTGTTGGGGGGGTGGGGGGTGTTTGGTTGGTTGTTGTTTGTTTGGGGTTTTTTGTTTCTTTTGGTTTTTACAAGGTCTTCTAGTCCAACTATACCAGAACAAATAAGAAGAAAACAGACTGGTACTCAACGACAAGCAAGAAAGTTTTTCCCCCCTCCAAATCACATTTGAGAGGATTTTACATCATGTCAACGTAATTCCCTTTCTAATACCCTGAAAATTCAAAAAGATCATAAACTAAAAATTCTGCTCAGAAGTTTCTGTATTTAAGAAGACTAACATATTTTTAAGTCTGGTATCATTGCGAAGAGTAATAACCACAAAAAGCCTAATGTCTAATTCCATAACACTGCATAAATAAATTGTATTGACATCCATGCAGTTACACAAAAGAAAGTAATTCAGATTTACTAAAAATCTTTTAAGGATTACAAAACAAGAACATCTCTTTGAAATAAACAACAAATGACTGAACACTAATGTCCCCGGGTGAAAAAACTGATGTCCCAAACAGTCTGGCTAAGGCATGGTTTTTGTTACTAACAGGGGAAAAAAAACTAACATATTTTTATTGATTACACATCTAGGTTTCATGTTACTTGCTATTATTAGAAAGGTTTCATGTTACTTTCTATTATTAGAAAGGTAAAATGCAGAAAGGTATAAAAGCTATCGCTATCAAGGCAGTGTACTGCTGAATCAACAGGGAAATAGCTGTCTTTTTCAAGGGAGAAATACCTAAATGGAAGACTGATATCATAGAAGAGTACGTATAAACACTGGAACAGTCTTAATATGCCTCAAAGGGTGGAGGGAGAGGGCATATCTAACAAGAAAAGTCAGAGGAGAAAAAGTTGAAAATGTTAGTTGTACCTTAAAGAACCCTGCTTCTGGCCCACACCTGTCATAAACATTCCTGGCTTTACCTATAGCCATGATAATACCTTGCATGTTCGGGGTCAGCATGACCTGCCACAAGGGATTTAAGGCAAAAGTTTTGAATAATTAATATTTTAATGACCAAATTCAATATGCTTTTAGTCTCATGCAAGATAAAAAGCAACTTAATGCATGCATACATTGAAATGGCACATTTCAATACAGATCTGGTGTGCATATTCTGCAAGTCAGTCATGGCATGTGTATATATTTTTACTGTAACAACATACGATTAAAGGAAGCTTACAAAAAAATTGAAGAACTGCATCAAATACAATTTAAGAAGTTACACGGTCAAAACTTCCCAGGAAAGGAACATGCATCGTTCAGCATTAGTATCCATCAGAAACTGCATACTGAATGAGTGCCACCCATGGCTACCAAATGATAAAAAAAGCTTCAAGTAGAAAAATCACCCAATCACACTTTATATTTACTGTACTAAAAACATAGTAAACTACACTGCCTGTATTTTATGTGTATTTCAACATCAAAATAAGGAACCCATTGCTGCAAATGCAATTGGTCCCTGAAGCATTTGTAGACAAATTCTTAAAAAAATCAAACCCAAAACATTTAACAAACACAAAGCCAAACATAAGACACACATCTCACAGCTATTCACATTAGTTATATACAAACAATTTGATACATCTAGGTTACTCAGAAAGGCCTTTCCTGTTTGTTATCTGTGAGCAAAGAAAAACACTCCCTTTCTCCCTGCCTAAGGTATAGCTGGCAGAGCAACTGGCACAGCAATAAAAGATGAAGAACCCTAAACTCTCCAGAATAGTTTCCCCACACATAAGAATATTAAAAAAGTGAATACACTTACAAAAGGAACAGGGAAATCGGAAAGAAACTTATCATCCTCTAGAAAGACAATAGCATGAGGACAACAGTGAAAAAAAGAAAAAACCCAAAAAAGCAGGTCATTAGGGAAGGCTAAATCCTCATGTCTTTAAAGGTGGAGACTACACATCTGTAAGAAGCCATACTCAGTGTGATGATGTCAATTAAATCACTTTAATCCCCATCCTGTACTCCCAGTTACAACTGATCACAATTACAGGGCAGAATGACCTGAAATATCCATTTACCTAGGGAAGCAAAAGCTCCCCGTAACCCACCAAGAACACATGCTCAGACACCTGAGAATATGGGCTGCAACAACACTATCCCCAACCAAAACAAACATGGAGCAAGCAGTGTCAAGGCAGGACAGTTTGATGACCTGGCAGTGTTGCTTTCTGCTGTTAAAATAGGGCAGCAGAAAGTAATGTGTCTCAGGATAACACGGGCCTCTCATCTGTTCCTCAAGTAGTACCAGCTACACGCACCACCCTGGGTCTGAATTGGGAAAAAAAGAATTTTTCTTTTTTTTTTTTCCCCCCTTAAGCTTTCTAAGAGGTCAGCTCCACCAGCCATATCAATTTCAGGTTATTTCCATAGATAATTTAATCCTTGAAGTCTGAAAAGCTTAACCTTGGCAAATAAGGGACCGGACTTGAACATTAGCTTTATGGAACTGACAAGAAAGCACAGACATTAAGAACAACACTCACTATCCTGTCACTTTTTAAATAATGTAGTAGTCCGCAGTCTATCACCAGCATTTCAAAGGCTATCTGGCCTAACACAAACATTCAACTTCAACAGCTAAAAAGACAAATATACCTCCAGTGTAAATGGTACCATGCAAAGCGTGCCCAATTAGAGTAGCTAGTGCTTTCCTTTCATATTACATTACAAATTAAGACATTGTTAAGGTTACAAATCGCTAAGCATTTAGTTTTGCAGAAATCTGTTAGGTGTCACAATGTGCAAACATGCCAAAAATTCTCATCAGGCAGCACAAGAAAGCACCGAGGAGGAGCGGTGCACACAATTGCAATCAAATGTACCTCATCGTCATAACCCCCCTCCTCTGACTCAATCACAAAAGTCCCTACATCAGGAATCGCCACCTCTACAACTCGCTGGTTAGGAGCTGGTTGAGCTGGGGCATTATCAGAGCTCTGCAGAAGAAAATCATTATCAGTATGTGTGGGGGGAAATAAAAAAAAAAAAAAAAAAAATCAGAAAAAAAAGATAAAATTAGAGACATAAACTGACAGGCTGATCAAGTAAAATGATGTGCACTGCTGAAGTTCTGAAAAAAATTATAAATATCACTTATATTCTCTAATTACTTACAGTTTCTTAATTTTTTAAGCAGTACATTTTAAAATTAAGCCATCATTATTAAAAAGATTTCATTTGTCCTTTATTCACTAATTATATCTTTACAGGTTATTATGCCAGTATTGCAACTCTAACATCCATTACAAATTTAAGGCAGTTCTTAAGGATGAGTCTACGAAGCACCACTTCTTTTCATACATTCCACAAAAAAATTGCTAAATATACTGAAGTATCATTCCACAAAAAAATTGCTAAATATAACTGAAGTATCTGACGAATTCATACTAAGGGATGGCAATAAGCCAAAGGCTAACATTTCCTGATCCTCTGGGAAAAAAATACAAAAAAGTCTCTAGCAATTAAGATATTTGAAAGAATATTTAAAGGTGCATTACATTCGACAGGTTTATTTTTTTAGAAAAGTAATTAGACAGAAAATCAGGGGAAGATTATGTTAGTCACTGAAATTCTTGCTATGTTAAAGTAAGTTTTAAACAACAACAGAGACAAATCTCAGCTCCTGCAGTCCACCATTGTATAACAGCCAGTTTACAACATTTGCAGAACTTAAATCTTGACTCCAATCTAAGCAGAGTGCCATGCTACTTGTTCTTCAACTATTACAATAGTCTCATTTTTTTAACAAAGATTCCAGAAACACACATAGTATCTACTTACACCCAGCACTGTATAAATACAAAGGAAGACTGTGCAGAGGGTATAAAAAAGGACAAAAGGGCAAAAAATGTACACAAATGATCATGTGGTGACTAACCTACAGTCCTGTTTGTTACATGTTCTGATGTTGGCTTTCCTTCTTTTAAAACGGACAAACAAAAAGTGGAGGAACGGAATATATGCCTGCATGTCAGAATGCATATGGAAGTAGAATAATTAAAAAGCATGCTGACACACTGACAAGGAAGCACAATTCCGCCTGAGTTAAATTTGGGTATACAGAGAGCAGCTTTTAAACTTTAACAGGGTACCTTCAGATTACCTAGAAATTGGCTTTAGATTCTAACAGCTGAAATACATTTGTTTCTAAATAAAAGAGTTTGCATGGTTTGGGGATTTTTGTTTCTATTTTTAAAGAGCCATCCACCTTGTTGCAGAACAATGCAGTGAAAATACTGGAACAAGACGACCTGCATCTGCCTCATTAAGCCTATCACAATGTTCCCCATGTGGTTCCTCAACCACAGTCTTGTAAAGTCCTAAGGCTCATCACTGTGCAAAGTGTCATTAGCCTAAACTAAAACACCTGGATCCATGGAATCAAGTCTGTAAGATTCTTCCACATCCCACCAGGATGGATGCCCACAGACCCTAGGAGGAGGACAGCATCACACAAGACATTTTATCATGGGTTTGGTATCTTCACAGCTACCCCTTTAGCTGGAGGTAACTCATATTAAACAGGCTCCCTCTAAGCTGTTCTGTGTTCTGAGAACTCAAAAAAAGTCAGATATGCAGTAGCCTAACACGTTAGTGGTAGAGCATCTTTTCATCCAGGGTTAGATTAGATTCCCTGTTGGCTTGATTTCAGTTTAGCAGAGAAAGCGTGCTTCTCTGCTCTCCTGACACCACAGGAGAGAGGGATGGAAAACACGTCAGGTGTAAGACTCAACAAGTTGTCACATCATTTTCAAAGGCTTTAAGAGGACTTTCCCATTGGCCCCAAAGATATCTGGGGCTAGACTGCTTTTGTTTAATGAGGATTCATACCTGAACTTAGGAAGCATGCTTCAATTTTTGCACAGATCTAAACTGTTCATATCTCTAGTGGTTACTAGGGGTGCCTAAGGAAACTATACTGTACATTTCGTATGTTTTATCCTTATGGATACAGTTCCAAGACAGATGTATGTATTGCTTTAAAGGCACTTGCTTTTGTGGCAAATACATCGGTCATTTATCTATATATTTATATGGAAGCAAAAAAAAATTGCTGAAAGAAAAAACTGTTAAATATTAGTTTCATTAATAACTCATGAAGTAGTTAACTTCCAATTCCTCTTAGTATTTGTCATACGAAGTGAAAACAGAATCACCCAACACTAATTCTTGTAAATATTTTAAGTTAATATATGCATCTGATGAATCACAAAAAATAATTTTCACCAAGTTGTGAATTTGCATTAAAGCTACAGAATACTGTTGAAAAAAACAATTATATTTGAATGCTACTTTAACTTCCATAGGTCTTTCAAGGGAACTCAATTATAAACTTATATTTCTCAGATAAAAACTTGAATGTTTGTATCAGTATTGTTCAAGTCTTGTACATAGAATGTCAGTGTTTACTCCTCAAAAATAAATGGAGAAATCTAACATTTTGAAAAGATGGTGGGCACAAACACGACTGTCATTTCAATAATATGCTGTATTCTCGACAAGTACTTTAATCACATAGAGGACATCTGTCTTAGTATTTTTCTTCAAGTACACCCATTACTGTAGTACACACTTTCTGGATGGACTGTACTGTTGACAGTCCCTGAAGAAATAGCAATTTTCAGTTCAAAGTTTCCACACACACCCACCCTTTTATCAGCTATTATATTGTTTCCACTTGCAAAATAAAAGCAAAAGAAGTATTTCAAGCTTCAAAATATCCTCACCGTATCCATTATAGCTTCTGGACCTCTATCTTCTTGTTCAGCTAAAGCTTTATTGATTGCTTGTACAGAATCTTCTTTTAAGTGCTTTGAAAGATCAGTTCTTGATGGCTGCTCTAAATATTCTGGTTCTCCTGCTTGAACTTAGTGACAGAAATAAAATGACAATTTTGCGTGTTAATATAAGCATGAATTCTGAATAGATAAGGTAACCCACACAGAAAATGCAGGGTAGGTCACACCATTCACAAACACAACTTTACGCCAGTCTGCATCTCGGGTCATTTTGAACACTTTCATACAAATGGACCCATGATTTTATATTAGGAACAACAGACGTGTCCTGTCTATAGGCCCATTAAGGCTCTTGAGTGAGGGGTGTTCATCAATCATATGGGGGATGACCGAGAACAAAGATGAGATTCTACTTGGACTTTCTGTGGCATACAGACCCAATATATGGAATGACCTACAGCCACTTGAGTGCCAGATGTAAACAACAGACGTGTCCTGTATATAGGCCCATTAAGGCTCTTGAGTGAGGGGTGTTCATCAATCATATGGGGGATGACCAAGCAAAGATGAGAGATTCTACTTGGACTTTCTGTGGCATACAGACCCAATATATGGAATGACCTACAGCCACAGGAACGCCCCCCAGCCACTTGAGTGCCAGATGTATTTTTACTTCGCAAAATAATCAACACATTATATTCTTCTGACTTAAGGGAAATCTCAGTCTCCCCCACTTGAGGGCAATAAAATTGATTAGCATAGTGTCTTATATTCCTTACATGATGAAAGCAAATTTTGGCAGACATAAAACATTCATTTAGTACTTTCCATTACTAACAAAAGAACTAAAACCAGTCCTAAAGTGTTTGTGAAGTCAAAACATACAGAAGATGAAGTCACTCTCCACAGAGATTGCAAAAAGAGAAATGTCATTAAATCACTGCACTTTTTACATTCCGTTTGTAGTCATAGATAGTTATGAGAAATATATGCTCAGTCTTAATGACTCAAAGACAACAATGAGAACATCTGGACAGCAGTCTCACTACACAAATCCATCATGTCATCTTTCACATAATGTACATACAGCCTTCTGCAAAGGAGCAAAAGGTTGATGCAACCTAAAACCTGACAGGTTTTTCTCTGTCAAAGCAGGCATATGTTTTATAGTCAGACTGCCAGTGGTCCTTATTAGCTAAGTTCCTAACAGCATTGGCCTCACTGTTGCTGTTCAGAGCTTTTTCCACAATTTTAACACCCTCATTTTTACATAATAATTTCTTAAGTGGGCCCTACTATTGCTAACTCTATTCAATACATCACACCAAATAAATTGTTCTTCTTTTCAGATTTAAATTCTGTCCTAATTTAAAATGAGAAGGTAGGTCTTCTACTCAATCATTCTGAACAGAAGACTATACATCACTTATGGACTAATAAATTCTCAAAACAGACCGGTGAGACTTGTTAATAATTACGTATCTTAAAAGGCCAAAGTTTCTATGGAAAAAAAAAATAGTTTAGTGGAAGCTAAGCACAACTGGGAGGGAAAAGGCAGAAGAACCAACAAATAATTTTTTTCTTTAAATAAAAAATAAAATGCAAAAAACCCAACAGACTAAACTTCAAGTGCAGTTACCTTGGCCAAGTAAATAGTTATAATTCAAGATTACACAAATTAACTTTCTCTTCCTTTCTTAAGCTGCAAAACAATATATACAAAACCCAGTGATTTTTGGTTCTACTCCTTTTACAAACAGGTAGAAGAAGCTAACCTGGAGCAGGTGAAGGTGCTGGTGCCCTGGGTATCTGAGATAACAACTTCTCCTGCTGTGCTTTCTGAGCGAGTTCTGCATCCCATTCTTCTAGTTCTTTTTCAAAACGTTTATTGTCTTCCTTGACGTAATCCCTTAGATCAGAAGGCAGCGTGTCCATTCCAACAAGGATCTGTCCCGTTTCTTTGTTAAACTCCTCTGCGGTAACATGAAATATAAATTTCAGGAAAAGAAAGAATAGGGGAAAAGAAAGTATGTTCAACAAATTTCCTCAAGTGAATTACTGGAAACATACAGTACAGCACCAAACCCCCAAAAGTATATTACTTTTGACTGGTTTTATTATCTGTCGGGCACTCCTCTGCTACTGAGACGCATCGCTACTGCTCTTGTGATCTTTGGGTTATACGTTCTTGGGCACCATCAGATCATTGCCATTTTGAAAGATGAGCCTTTCGGGCCATGAGCACCCTATGATTGCGAACATTCAGAAAAAGTCACAGAAAAACACCATAGCTTGATTGCATTACTGCCACATGGAGTTGGATACAACTCAACTTCCCAGCAGAAAAGGGGAAGGAGAGTGGGCCTACAGTGATTTGGAAAGTCAACTGATAAGAACACCAGCTACATGAAGTAAACTTCCTTTTTGCTTCGAGAATGGTCTCTGCAAGATTGCATTGATCCTGGGGGATCAATCAGCTGTAATTGTCCCCCAGCAACCACCCTACGGGGCCTATAAACCCTATGGCTGCAAGTCCACTACTAATCTGGCAGTCTAGAAATGTCAAGGTTAATATCAGTTCTCACTTAAAAACTGAACAAATGCACACTCTAGCTTTCTGCCCTATGAAAAGACAGGAACGTGAAAATTTTCCACCACCTGTTACTGAATCTCTGACCATTTTCAGTCAGCTCCCTAGCCTCCATTATCAGGCCCCACAAAACTCATACTAAGGGATCTTTGCCCTTTCTCCAAACACTTCCATACAAGCCTTATACTACTACATAACCTGAAAAAAATTTCCCAATCCATGTATTACTTTGGTTTAATGTGTGGTTGGTAGAGCTAAATTATTCACATTTCAGTATACTGCATAAAGCTTCACATTTCCATGGTCCAGTAATGTTCAGATTTCTGAAGCTTATGAAAAGCCACGTGAGGATTTTAACGTCAAGAGGGTCATTTCTGTGTTTCCATATTTCTGTTCTAATTTTCAGTGAGATAACATCTCCAAAATTCTGAACACATGATCACTTGGCTAAAATGTTTACAAATTAGCAAACTTAGTTTATTTTGCTCTCTTAATAATGCTGAAACACTGGCATTATCTTTATTAATCTAAAAGTTGAAGAGCAATTGTTCTACCCACAAAAACAATCTGACTAACAGTTATGAGCATAAACAGAACTTTCAAGAATGATTAAAACCATTTCAAAAATCTGGAAATCCATCTGAAATATTTATAAAGCGAGCTTCTATTTCAGCTATTCTATCATGCAGAAAACATATCCATAACATTACCTTGTATCAAGTATTGTTCCTTATATATACATTAAACAATATGCACTGGCATTCCTGTAACCACCAAAAGAGTCCCGTTCCAACTCTTCCCAAGTTGACTTTGTCACAGAAATATCATTGTATTTCATCCATCTGTTCTGGTGGTGGTCATAAATATATGCCCAGTAGTGTCCTGCATTAGCTTGACCTTCATGAACTAGCACAGCATGCAACCTATAAGGAACCTTAAAAAAAAAAAACAAAACAAAACAAAAACACAGAACAAAAAAACCCAAAATGTCAAACTCTTTGCCAGCATTTAGTTTCTACTACCTGCCAGCAATAATAGTTACATTAAATAAAAGTAACTAAAAAAAAAAAAAAAAAAAAAAGGTAAACAGGATCAAAACATGACACAGAGGAAAAACAAAGAGGTAAAACTAGCAACCCACTAAGCAAAAGGACTTTGAACTATTTGAACTATTTTACTTACCACTACTAGTCACAAGTGATCTTAAAAACATTAGTGAGTCTATAGCATAAATGTCTACTCTGCTGTCTTTACTGCCAGGCATCCTCTTTTCTTAATTCCTTAATATGCCTACTTTCCTTGTATCTACAAAAACCCCTCAAATATGTCAACCCTGAGTGTCTATGATTTGCTCCAGTTCTGACCTGGAGAACTTGTCCTGAAGTCTGGAAAGGCATATGCAAATTCAAGGTAAAACTCTGTGTTTTCTATGGGCCAGTAAGAGAGTTTATTTAAAGGAACATCTGGGAGTTGAAGACTTCCATTACCCAAAGGTAAAATTCTTACAGTAGAATAGGAATACAACCATGTTCCTGTATTTTGAATGCATTGCTAAGAAAAGGATGGAACACATTAAGAGGTCCTCTCCTCCTCCTGAGGCAGAGAAGGAAGGTATCAGTTTCTAGGATCAATGTAAAAAGTATCCCAGGTTACATGTCTTCACCGACAAGTAAGAAAAATGGGAAACTTAGTTTCTATGTAAGTAGTTGGAAATCTGAAGGAGAGAGAAGCAGAATGAATGAGTGCTTCCTTATTTACAAGTCTTTTAAAAGCATCTTGGTGATTGGCTCATTTTAACCTGCTGAAACAGCACATGCAACATAAAAAGGAAAACTGATCTTCCCTGCTATGCACAGTATGCCTGAATGACAGCAGCTTAGCTAGGATGAAAAAAAACTGAAGCCATCTTTTACTGGTGTTACAGTCTGGACTGTAGATAAATGGTCTATTTAACATAAGGTGTACTAAATATTTGCTGCAAATATCATTTGAGCACCACAATAATTAGTAACCATAAATACATATGTAACTATGACTTGAGAAACTCCTTGAAGTTATTTTTAACCTGATCGCTCTCTTCCAGGCTATATGCAAGTGCTGGAGATTTTGCAACCCCCCTTGAACTGCAAAGCTGGCTGACTGCACAGCAGCTGGAATCAAACAGACTGTGATGACAGAGACCAAACCGCACTGTAAATCTCCCAAACACAAGACGTATACACAGAAGAAATCCTAGCAAGTCTTTAAATCTGAATGCTCTGGGGTTTTTAACATCTGTTATCAAACCAGTGTGAAAGCCTTCTTAAAATGATTGCAAGCCCATGTGTATGCACTTAACATATGCAGATCCTGATTTAAAAAAAAAAAAGTGAAGTCACTTTAGACTTTGACAATAAAATTTCCTCACCTTAAAAATAGGGCATTAATTATAGGGCATTAAAATCCCAGGTGAATTTGAATCATTTTACTTAAAACCACGCTAACTGGGTCAGCTTGAGGGCCGCTACCCTTTGCTCCAGCTCTGGAGGACCAGCTGTCAGTCCTCCATGCTGAGCTTCCAGGAGGGTTCCGCACAGAGGTCTGTGACTGGGGGACAGGCAAGTTCAGTGCCGACAGGCGTCTCCTGCGATAAGCCATTATATATCAACAGCAATTAATGATACAGGGCAACACAAGTAGTAAAGAGTTGGCATTAAGCTTCTTAGCTTACACTTATTACTCATGAAACAGAAATAGAGCTTCACCACCCTCGTCACATATAGCTACAGAACAGATATATCAAAGCTGATATATCAAAGATTAATTCCCACAGGAAAAACAGGTGTGCCTCATTTCCTCACAGCAAGTTCACGGAAGGAGGGAAATACTCAAATAAGCAGCTGATGAAATCTGTTCATTCAGGACGACAAGACAAAATAAGAATTTCAGGAATATATTTCATATGACAATTTGACAAGGGTTTTTACAGACAACTGTAGTTTCCTTAGAATCAAAGGGGACACAAGGAGAAGACTAAGAGCTTCTTAAATAGTTCATACAAACACTAGGAAGTATCCTGCAAATATAATACGTTTTCCTTAAAAAGTCTAGATTTATGTGCCCAGACCTTATTGACTCACAAGAGAAAAGCTTTCAGTCCTACAATTGTATCATTCAGAGGAAAAGATCAATACTGTGAGACTGCTCCCAGAGAATGGGGCAATACTAAGCTATGCAATCGCCCACATGCAGAGGCAGGCAGGGGGAAAGTAGACAGCTATATGCACCTGCCTCCTTCCTGTTGCACCAAAACACCCACAGGGACAAAACCAGCTGAGCTACAGAAGGGCACCCTTCGCTTCCAGCTTGTGATTTCAGATGGGTTCAGTACGTGCTTGTTCCCTAACAATCACTTAACACACACCACTACTTTCAGGCATGGCACAGGAACCCCCTCTACAAATCTATATACCATCTTCATCCTCCTCCATTTCTGGAATTCTGTTTCAAAACGAAAACAAACAAAAAAAATCTAGTCTACGTTATACAAATCTGCACTAGGACAAAGTGTTTTACTAAGTAATCTCCTTTTTCCATTGTAATGATTGCTGACCAATATCTTCGCCACCCAGAGGTATTTCCTCCTATAACACCTAAGCCAACACAGATAGGATATTTGGATGCGAGATCACCAAATTACTTCATTTTACTGCTAGATGACATGTAGCCTGTAGCCTTCCTGTTATAACACAAGTATTAAGGAAAAAAAATGCCTGCCAGTAGCAAGCTTAAAGAAAGCCATCTAGGCAAGTCTGCCTGAAATCCTTAATATCAGAGTTCAGCTGCCAGGAACTATTACAAGCCATGTACAAAATGAAAACGTACCTCAAGGAAAACTGTAAGCTGAACAGATCTTACTTGGAAGGCAAATAGTTCTTTTTACTAACAGAAAGTAACAGAGGAAGTAATCCTTAACCTTAAAACCTGTCAAAGTGAGCGAACAAGAGTATGTGAACGTAAGAAATACCAGAGGAGCCACAACTCTGTAGTAAAGCATTCTAAAAATGCTGTTCAGATTACACAGCATAAGAATCTCCCTAAAAGGCAGCTTAGACTAATAGTCAAGGCTGTGACTGATACTAAATCTAGACAGAGTTTTAAAAAACCCAGCAAAAAGCAAAACAACGATAACAACAAAACCCACAGGCATTAACAACTGCAAATTAAAATCAGGAGCCTTGAATTCCCAAGTGTTAGTATGGATTGCAATACAGTGTTAGTATGGGAAGTTGCAATACATAATGGCAATAAGCATCAAAGTATAAAAATAATAGTTTCTTGTGTGTAATGCTTTGCCACCTTAAAGCTGTAAGATTACCTAGCAATATAGTCAAATTGGCAATATGGAGAAAATTTTATTGTGTTATACAAAAACTGAAGTTCTGCATTCAAGGCAAAAAAGTGGATCAGAGATAGAACATATTTGGACTTTTCATCAAAGTTGCTTAAACTTAAGTATGTCACCTGTAAAATACTGTAACACTGTCTTTCATCTAACTGCATAATTAAAAGGTTTGCAAAGCCCATTATGACTTTCCAATGAAGTTTCTCAAACCACTTTATATAATTGTTGTATACTTGCTCTATTTTCAAGCATCTAAGAACTTCAATAAAAGTGACAAAAAGGATCTATTTTGAGTTATCTCATGCAGAAGTTGTACTTACTTGGACCATTGTTTTGTCAGAGTACATCAATTCAATTGTCCGATGTATTCTAGATATACTTTCTTGTAAATCTAAAAGAAAAGTTAAAAAAAGAAGCTCTCTTCCATGAGGCCGCATAATTGCACGTGGCTACATCTTTATTTTATCTCATTAAAAGCCAAACAAGGCTATGTTTCACATTTGGTGCATCTGTTTATCTACCTACGTGCCAAACACTAAACCTTCTCAGATGATGAAGCAGAGAGAGTGATTCATTATACGCCGCTGCTTGTTTCCTAGAGCTCAATCAAGCCCACCCCTGCTGGAACAACTACTTCCCTTGTATCCCTTAGAGGAACAGAACAGACCGTAAGCTCCACCCACTCCAAAAAGCCTTTGCTCAGAAATTTGCTGAATTTTTCCTTATGGAAGGGGTCACTCTACCCTAAATCCCCCCGCAGAGCACCAAGTCACAGCATGGGCCCAGCCGCTATAACACTGACAGCTCAGACACGTCTGCAGAGACATTCTTTGGCATGGATCCCACCTCTGTTTCACTCAACTCCCCTCAACACCACGCACACAGAAACCTGCGTTGAAACACCCATGTACGCTTCACTCAACGCCCAGCTTGCATCTTCAGTTTATATACCTCCAGTCTACTACAATCTCTGACTTCCCTTCCTGCATGCTAGAGATAAGTTTGGAAGTGTGAAACAAGCAACTCAGCACACACATGGACATTAAGGTGATTTCCCCCACTTCCGCAAATCCTTTCCGACAGCAAATGCATTCTCCAGCTTGTGGCGTTACCTCTAGTGTCGTTCTCTACTTCAGTCCTCCAGCGATGTAAACAGCCTTCTAGGACAGACAACTCTTCCTCAGTGATGTGCCTTGGTGCCGGATGCATTGGCAGATCAGGAGGAATTCGTGATTGTGTGAATGGTTTATGTATTACTGATCTTTGTACGGGAGACGTGCTTGGAACATCTGAAGATGAAGGCCCCTGCTGCTCTATTGTGCTGCATTCATTCAAAACATGAAATACAAAAATTGAATCATCATGTATACAAACTAAGAGCTACACCATAAAAATAAACTTTTCATCTGAAAACAGAAGTTTTAAAGGTAATAGTTTCCTACAGTGCAATCCAGGAAAGGTACCTACAGCATCAATATGGAATTACTATATAACTTCTGAAAACTTTCTGGTGTGTTATATGTTAGCACAATAACAATTCTGGTTGTCATCACCAATGATAACGGAATTGGCTCAGTCAAGCCACAGTTCGCTTTACTTGAAATGCTATTCAAATACATTCAAATAACGTCATACGAGTAATCGCTGTGGTTTGAAACACTTACTGCCAAACTGCAGAGAGAAAAATTGTAGCAGCTTGTCTTATGGCCCACTGACCATAAAATCCAATAAAGACAAGTTCTGTGTTTAATAACTTCATGCCTTATGTCTAGCAGACTTTTTTTCCAATTGCCTACCTACACCTTAACTGAACAGCAACAGTGAAAGGACCTCTGATATTTATGGCACTCTGGAAATTTAGCACCAAGCCCTCTAAACTTGTCCCAAACAATTCTTGTAACTCAAACAGCGAAGTGGCCAACTCGGGAGATTTCCGCAAGAGCAGCAGAATATTAAAAATGAAAATCTGTTACAGATTTTTCTCCTCCCATCAAGACCACCTATATATAATCATACACATAAAGGAATCTGAAGTTTTAGCAGGCCATTGTTTTTTTACTTTGTGTGGCATCATGACACAACCTGAGGAACTTGGATTCTTCAGTAGTTTAAAAAGTTCTGAGAACATTAAGAGCTGACAGTGTCACTCCACATAACATGCTGTTGTGTTTTTACAGGCTGACAAAAAGTCATAATACTTACATTTTTACAAAACAAACTTCCTATATAGGACTTTGTTCAGAGTATACTACTTTTGATACTGCATTTCATGAAAACAATGCTATCTTAAAAGTTTGTCTTCTCTTATAATGCCAATAGAAATCATGATGATTGATATCAGGAAGACATTTGAAATCTTTTAAGTAAATGAGTCTAAAAATCCTTTAACTTCTCTGAACTACAAAGTTAACCATCTTGACTGGACCAGAACCTAGAACCCTACTTTCCAATTGCAATATGAAAAGCTCTGTTATAAACCGTTAGTGTCCACCTAGCCAAACCCTATCCTAAGTTATACTCTACTTTATTAACTGTTACTATCTTCAATAATGAGAACATCAGGGAGATAAAGGTCCAATCATGTTGTTACTTTGGCTAGTCTGTATTTAAAAAGTCAGACTGTTAGGTTCCTGACAATCTCAGTCAGAAGTGTAAGCAGCAAAGCAGAAAAGGAGCTTAACTCCCAGGCAAATTAACAGGTAAATTGTACACCAGAAACCTTGAAGCTCCGCAGAACATACATGCTGCCCAAATTCAGATTCTTAAATAACACGTTTGGGAAGCAGTGACCTCACCAGATACTGTGTCTATTTGGAATTGTAGGTAGAATTGTGCTTTGTTTGAAAATGGTAATTCTCCACCTAAAGACGTTTTTAGAAGTGCATGAGAGAAACCCAGATTATTAACATTTTGGTTTATTTATTTAAGTTTGTCGTGCTGAAAAATACTTCTAGGAAGAGAGCAGAAACTTTACGCTATACCCCTTAGGAGATGCCTAGTTGTATTAATCTGGTGAACGAAGCAGTTAAATGTCCTCCCTTCTCTCTCAGCAGCCGGGTTTGCACTGAGGAGATGACTGGCCTCTCACCTTGGGAGAGCAGGAAGCAGCCCTTACCTGGGCGATGTCTGGGCCGGCAGCGTGCCGCTGGCAGGGGCACTAGCACCCACGTCATCGACAGGAGACGTGCACACCGGCTTGCTGGAGGCGAACTCCAAGGCATACTGCAGGACATCTACCAAGGGGAATCGTTTAGGACCAGAACCATAGCTTAAATATCTGTTAACCATAAAACGTATTAATGCCATGACTCACACATTTTAAGAAAAAAAAAAAAGGATTTTTTTTCTGGTTGACTGCAATTAAGTAAAGCAAGCCTTTCTGATGCACGAAATGTGCTAGGAACTACCGCATTTATACACAGTTTCCAAGGAAAATGGTAAAAGAAAAGAGATACAGCAGGGAAATTTAGAGCAAATAACTACACACAAAGTGCAAAAGTGCATAGAGTAACTCCTTTCAACTATGTAGCCCATATTACTACTTGCATTTACACTGGGAACAGTTATCTATAGTACCGTTCTAATCTCTGCTGTAAAACCGTGAGGTACTCTTTCAGTCTCTTGATTTCATCCCGTTTAATTCTTGTTATTTCTCTGTTTTTGTGCATATACCTGTAAAACATGAAAGTTAGAAAGAGATGTCAGCCCATAGTATTCCAACAATGAAACTGAGGTCTGTACCCATCAGCCATGCTGCTTAGTGCTAAGATAAACTAACCCTCTCTAGAGACTTGTTTTACCTACAACACGTTGAGCAGTAAAACAGAACTGAAGAAAATGGTAACCCCATTAAGCCTCCCCTTAACAACTTTCAGAAGATGCTTTATCCCCAGTGTCAAAAGCTCTGTTCATACCATGGATGTGTCTTATAAATGTACACAAACGCATACTAGAAAGCTTCTAAATTATATGGTTTAAGTAGCAACCACGTAGCAATACTCCCGTTTCATTGCTTAGACTCACAAATAACATTCAGCAGCTAACTGAAAGCCAAGTATTTCACCTCTACATATAAACAGCATGCACTGATGTTGAGAATCCTCCTCAATCCACGCAGTCTATCTGACTATTCACCCTCTTTCCCAAATGGACTCATAAACAGTGTGATTTTTCAGAGTATTTTGCCTGTGTACACAACTACCTAGCAATAAATCAAAGACTGCAGTGTAAGCAGGTTTTGGCACAAAGCAGCAGTAGGTCTTAAATTGTTATGTATATTTTCTGAAACAGATGAAACCCATGAAAATTTTAACTTGTCCCGCGAGAACAGAAATTTACTGCGATTTAAACGAGTATAAGATGCACCAGCAACTTTACCAAACTCATGTGATTTAATTCTTATTCATACTAGGACTTTGCTGATAATATTATACTGTACCTGTCCAGATACAAAATTGGAGGAAATTCTAATTTGTTGTGTATCTTCTCTGGTCTCCCCAAAGCCTGATTAAACTCAAATCTTGATAGCTCAAAAGTTAAGACAGGAGGAAGCTCAGTGAACCAGTGCTGAACAAAAGAAAAACAGAAAACCCCACAATGAGTGCTTTCCAGTAGCAGAACTTTGGTAATAATGTTACAATACCTGCAGACCGACATAGCTATGGGAGAAACCGGTTTTAGAGGGTGGATCGGCATAAGCTTTCCAAAGTTCCCATCTTTCACCTGCACTGTAAACACAGACCATTTGTCACCCATGCTGCATCAGAGCTTTTCAACTCATCTATCGCAATCTCTGTTAAAGCAGAGTAGGCGGGAAGGCTTCTTCCTTTCACATTTGTCTTGCTCGTACTAAAAGCAGCCCACGCTTGAACCTACCTGCCCTGCCAACTGTCCTGTTCTCCTTTACCTCTCGAAGGACACTAAAGGGTTGTTTATACTGTATCAAGTGCTCTTCCCACTAGCTGCCTCAGACTCAAGTTTCTGACCCTTTCATTCACCTGGTATCACTCAAAGTTTCTAATGACCTCCTCTGAAGCAGGATCAGCGACTACTTTGGGCTGGGTCAGACAAGCTCTCTCAGCACTGTAAGACTGGTACTTTTTCCTTGAAATCTCCTCCGTACTAACAACCTCTCCTGAAGTTTCTGCTCACGTCTCTAATCACTACTAATCCATCCATGGACCAACCTGTGTTATCATCACCTTACCCCAGCTTTCTTTGAGTATTCAGTAGAGGTCTACCCTTAGTCCTCGTTTCTTTCCTTACATACTTCATTTCTCAACTACAAGACAAATTCAGCTCTAATTCCAGCATTAGAGTCCCTTTTTTCTCCCCACTCTGCAACGTAAAAACCACAGTCTATCCATTTAATATGTTTTGGATGTCTAACCATCAACTCAGGCTTCCCTGATTGCTGTGGACACCATTGCCACACATTTCTGACGTCAACGCCCTCAGCCCAGATGTGGCATTTGACTCGGGGCTCGCTTCAAGTTCTCCCATCTAGCCAAATGTCTTGAATAGTCTTTTCACACTATACCTCCAAGACAGCCTTTTCTTCCCATGCTCGGGTCTAGGCTCCCATCACTCCACATCTCAGTGCAATGTTTCCTCTCTTCTCCCCTTGCCCGGCCTTAGTGCACATAGCCTTGTCACACTAGCAGGTTTCCAGGATGTTGCTCAATTTTCCTAGCTCATTTCCTTCAGCATCACTCCTCACATCTGTTTACATGCAAAATGAGCTACCTTCCCTTTTCTTGCCTATGTCAGCCTCCACCAGCCACCTTTTCAGTTTTAAAGGAGACAATCATGACTTCCTTCTTGCAGCAACTTCACACAGCAGTAAATGTCAATGCTAAAGTCAGCAAAGCCACACCACAACCCTTCCCCCTAAAAACCTTTTATTGTAAGGCCCCCAAACCACTTAACGATGACTAAGCTGATGATGTGCTGAAGTTCATCAACCATGATGCTAACAAACATTATCTCATTTTCCCCACACTTCTAACTCCGAATATGTGCATTGACCTCCATCTTCTCTTGAATGTGGATTTAAGTTCCTTGGGACAGGGAAAGTCTCTTTTTTCTGTTCGTACATTAGCTTGCTTACTGACACCCTACTCCATGGCTGAGGCTTTTAGGATTGTGATGATGATAATAATAAACAAGCTAAATACCCCATTAGAGGCAATGGTGGAAACAAGGAAAAAAAAAATAGAATGTTACTTTCAGGATAAAATGGATCTTTCAACACATGCGACTACCACATTAATATTATTCTCTTTAAGCTTTGACATCTACCAGCTCGGACGAATGCCACTTGAAGTCTTTGTTCAGCGGAGACGGACTTTGTTAAAACTACAAGAAATTCAGCTTCCTTCAGTACTTCCAAACTTTCCAATGCACTGTAAAATCTTTGAAGCATTATGTTTAAGCATAACTACTAACAGCAGCAACCACCACAGTTCAGGGAAATATAACCAGTTTACTTGGCCGTGGTAATAACGCAGTAATGTTTTTCTAGATTAGGACTTAACACATTACCTTTCTTGTTTTGCCACTGTTGTCAGTCGGTCATATGACTATTTCACTTCCACATGCTAAGAAGCCAAGCTGACATTTTCACAGAACTCAAAGCTTAACACTCTACACCTGTACATGACTATCCTTCTGTTCCCCATAGTTTCCTGACATTACAGGTTAAAAAACCTCAAAAACAAAACAAAAAAAAACCCCAAGTCTGACATTCCTAGCCAAGCATTTATAACTGAACTGACATTTTATGCATGAATGCACACAGGTTTTAACTGCAAGACAACCTTCAGTCCATAAGATGAACAATCATGCTCTTGTAGTAGGTACATACAAGATTTCACCTTGCATAAAGAAATTGAACTTTGGATTGTACCAAGATATTTATGAGATTTTTTTTTTTTTTCCTTCCAGTTATATTTCAGGAAACATGCTCATTGTAAGAAGTCATTTCTACAAGTGCTGGAATAAAAAAAAAAAGAAACATCCTGTGAAAGAAGAACACATCCAGTAAGATGGGTAAATACATTTGAAAATGCTTGTTAACATCTGCTTTCGTTGATCAATATTTGATCAATAATAGCTGATCAGAAAAAGAGACTGCAAAAAGGATGCTATAAAACTTTTGTTGATAACAAAATTGGAAATACAACTTCAGATTGGAGGATGATTTCAGTGTGCATCACTAGGCTTCGTAATTAAACCCTGTTCGTATGTTGATATGATTAAAGGAAGCAAAATTTCATTACTGCAAAAGATTAACATCAAGGACGAAACTATACCTGAACTTTTTACTTAAGTAGAAGAAACCTCCTAAGATTTCACATCTTTAAAATAACTGTAATGAAACACGAACAACTGTGTAAAAAGAAAGTAGCTCATCATTTACAGGCAATGGGGATTCCCATATTTCCACATCAATAACCCACAGGTTATTAGAGAGCTCTGCCAGAAAAAAAATGCTGGGCATATAAATGCATGCCAGCAATAAGAGGGGACATTTCAGAGCACACCCCACCATCGATCCAACTACCTCTTTTCCCTAACCGTGTCTTCTGCACAAGAAATCTCATTCATCACCTCATCTCAACACCATACACTGCATACCCCGCTTCTTAGTGGGGCTCCACCTGAATCCCTCCACCCATGCCTCCAGCATGCTCTAACATCTGGCAGCCTCCTGCTCTAGCAAGAGCTCTCCTGGGAGGAACAGCAGCCCGTAGAGCAAGTATTGTCTGTCCGCCACAAAGAGGAGGAGAACTGCCCACCGTAGGGGGCAAACAGGAGGATGCTGGGAAACATCAGTAAAAAGGGGAGAGGGGAAGACAACTAGGGCACTGAGGAATTACAAGACAGAGGCACAGAGAAATAACAACAATGCTCTAAAGCAATGGTCAAACGCACAGCTTGCACATGCTGTTTACAGCATGGCATGGGGCAGCAAGTCAGTGAGAGCAGTGGTCAGCTACCACAGGACTTTATACCCATGACCTCCCTGGAGATCAAAATATCAGCAACAGGTGGGAATCAGCCTGTGCCAAATCACTGTAAGCACTTAATTGCACCAGCTTTTAATAAGCATGAACTTTGTATCTTCTGAAAAATATAGAAAGATGATACTCTGGATACTCCAAAAGAGATACAAACCCCAAGTTAACAATCCAGTTACACCAGACATCAGAACCTGCACAGCAGCAGGTCACATAAAAAACAACCATGAACCCCAATGAAAAACAAAGAGCACTACAACAACACCCTGAGAAAAGCCCACAGGAGCCCTTAACTCACCTCCTGACCAGACTTTGCAGAGTTTTCTGAATGGAGAGATTCAATTTCCCCTTCAATCATTGCAGCTTCTAGGCACTCATGCAGATCTTTAAAGCCATTAACCTGGAGTGGATACTGGCCAAACATTTCTGTGTTTTCAAATTTTTTACCTTCACATAAGAAATTAAACAGTTAAGGTTTTAGGGACAAACATTTACCTTTAAAAAAACCTAACAATCCTAGGTCACTTGACCTAGTCTACTGAACAATACCCACATTTTCTTATCAAACAATTCAATTATATGTATGAAAACAAGTCACTCGAAAAAGTTGCTTGTACATAATACTGAAAATTACTGTATTTTCCTCTCCAGCCCATTTTTTAGACTGTTTTTGCAACTATTGGTAAGAAGCAAAACTCAAAATGGCTTGGCACCACAGATGTATGGAAAGTTTCACACACATAAATCAAAGTTGTCCTCCTCCTGCAAACAGCAGCTCAGTAATACAACCCTACATTGTATCAGCAAAATCAGTGAAATTGCTGGTATGAAACAGCCCTTTGTATAAGTACGTTTCGCAAAAATAAACCACAAACAGAACATCCATGATTTCTGTCCTGAAAACAAGACCATAATTTGGTAACAGTGTATAAAGATGTAAGCTCAAACATGAGGAGAAATATGGGTGACAAGTGATTTCAATCTACAATTTAAATTTATTTCATCCTAAAGTCAGTAACAAGTCTTCTTACATCTGTCAGTTTCTTTTCATTGGTTTGGTTTTTACATCTCCTCAGTTAAGATGAGAATGTGAGGATGAAAGTACCCAAATGCAAAGGAGCGAGAAAGCTAGCTAGTAGCAAGGAATCTGCAGAAAGGTTTTGAAATCTGACAACAAATCATTAGATACACTGTTCCAGGCTGAGGAACAACCTGGAAGCCACTTTAAAGATTATAGCTGCTCCATTCAAATAGAATCATAGAATACTGTGGGTTGGAAGGGACCTCTAAAGGCCATCTAGTCCAACCCCCCTGCCGTGGGCAGGGACATCTTCAACTAGATCAGGTTGCTCAGAGCCCCGTCCAGCCTGGCCTTGAATGTTTCCAGGGACGGGACATCCACCACCTCTCTGGGCAACCTGTGCCAGCGTTTCACCACCCTCAAAAAATTTCATCCTTGTATCTAGTCTAAATCTACCCCCCTTTAGTTTAAAGCCATTCCCCCTTGTCCTGTCACAACAGGCCCTGCTAAAAAGTTTGTCCCCATCGTTTTTATAAGCCCCCTTTAAGTATTGAAAGGCTGCAATAAGGTCTCCCCAAAGCCTTCTCTTCTCTAGGCTGAACAACCCCAACGCTCTCAGCCTTTCTTCATAGGAGAGGTGTTCCATCCCCCTGATCATTTTCGTGACCCTCCTCTGG